TCTCCCCCTCCGATTTCCCCCCCTTCATTTTTCCCTTCCTACTATCTTCTTTTTTTTTTTTAACATATAATGTATTATTTGTTTCTCTTAATCCCCTTCACCTATTTTGACCATCCCCTCACCGATTTCCCTTTTAACAAGTACTAGTTTGTTTTCTATATTTAAGAGCCTTTTTGGGGTTTGTGTCTTTTTTTTCTTTGTTCATTTATTTTGTTTCTTAACTTCCACATATGAGTGAAGTCATATGGTATTTGTTTTTCTCCAACTGACTTATTTCACTTAGCATTATACCCTCCAGATCCATCCATGTTGTTGCAAATGACAAGATTTTATTCTTTTTTCATTCTTTATTCATTCTCTTTTTATTCATGTGTATATATACATATATATGCATATCTTATGCATCTTATATATCTTATACGTGTGTGTGTGTGTGTGTGTGTATCTTTTTTATCCACATCTTCTTTATCCATTCACTCATGGATGGACACTTGTGATGCTTCCATATTTTGGCTATTGTAAATAATGCTGCAATAAACATAGGGGTGCATATATCTTTTTGAGTTAGTGTTTTCATTTTCTTGGATAAATATCCAGGAGTGGAATTACTAGATCATATGGCAATTCTATTTTTAATTTTTTGAAGAACCTCCATACTGGTTTCCACAGTGGCTGCACCAATTTACACTCTTACCAACAGTGCATGGGTATTCTTTTTTCTTTACGTCCTCTCCAATACTTGTTATTTCTTGTGTTTTTAGCCATTCTGACAAGTGTGAGGTGTTGTATGACTGTAGTTGTTGTTGTTGTTGTTTTTTAAACTAGGCTCCACACCCAGTGTGGAGCCCAACACGGGGCTTAAACTTACAACCCTGAGATCAAGACCTGAGCTGAGATCAAGAGTTAGACGCTCAACCAGCTGAACCATCCAGTGGTTTGGATTTACATTTCCTTGATGATTAGTGATATTAGACATCTTTCTAGGTGTCTGTTGTCTTCTTTGGACAAATGTCTATTAATACCCTCTGTCCATTTTTTAATTGAATTATTTGGGGTTTTTTTTGGTGTTGAGTTGTATAAATTCTTTATACATTTTGGATATTAACCCTCAAGGGAGAGCCTTTATATAGGGTAGTCACAGAAGCTCAGTTAAGGAGGTGACATTTGGACAGAGAATTTTTCATTTATTTGACAAATATTTATTGAATACCCACTATAAGCAGATCACAGTGCTTATAATGCGTTATTGTTATTATGTTATTGTTATTATGAGATTACAGAATAAGACAAGATCCTTGGTTTCTAAGAATTTATAATCTAGCAGAGGAGTGTGGCTATATATATTTATTAAATGTTATAATAAAATGAAAACAGTGTGATAGATGAGAAGAAGGAAATATTTCTTTCAATTCTAGTTATTAGGGAAGTCTACCAGAACAAGATGGACCTTAGAGAATGGGTGTATGGATAGATAGACGTGGGACTGTATGTAAAGGAAATCCAGAGAGGGATGGATGAGCACATCATGAGTGAAAACAAAGCAGCTAGAAATGTGAAGGGTGCTTAGGGAACAATAAAGGGTACTTCGGACACGTAGCCTCTGAATACCTCTAGCAGTTCAAAACTAGCTCCTATAAGCAAGAAACTTATTTGAAGCCTTGGATTCTACCTTTTAATTCCAGGTGAATTTTGCATTCTATTATATAAATTCATCTATCCTATTTTAAAATAAAAATATTGTCCCCAAACTCTTTAAATAAAATTAACACTTAGGAAAGTGAACCATATTTACCCTATGGCTTCCAGTTGCTCTGTCAAATATTTAGCTGGGAATTCATATTTTACTTTGAATATCAAGGGTAGAACAATAAAGAGAACTAATTTTAAAAAAGTAGATTGGACCCAAATAGTATTGGGTCTTGAATAATAGGCCCACACATTTAAAATGTGTCATGTAGAGAATGGAAAACTACAAATGTTTTTTATTTTATTTTATTTTTTTAAGATTTTATTTATTCGACAGAAAGAGACAGCCAGAGAGGGAACACAAGCAAGGGGAGTGGGAGAGGGAGAAGCAGGCTTCCCGCAGAGCAGGGAGCCCGATGTGGGGCTCGATCCCAGGACCCTGGGATCATGACCTG